GCACAATGTGGCTTATAGACTGTAAAGGGAGAGTGCAGAATTCCACAGCAAAGGACAGCTGTATTCCTGGTATGAAATGCTTGGCCTTTTCAAGACTATGGACAAATTTCCTGCTGTTCTTTCTGTCTCAGCACCCTCCCGATTGCATTATATCAGAGTTACTGGTTAGAAAAGTAATCAAATGAATCATATCTCAAACTGCCTGGCATATTGTACCTCCATTTGTATGGCTTTCTGGCATGATTTTGTGCTCACAAATTACACAGGCCTCAAACAGGAAGTTTGATGTGTAAGTAACATAAATACTGCTGCAGCCACAAAAGGAGGTGTTGGACCTCCAATTACAGTTACATCCACCAATTACCTCCAGTATCATTTCTTGAAAAGTGTTGAGCATAGACTTTTTCTCTACAACCCACACTACCCCTCATTAGCCTTAGTTCATATGCCATGATTACAACATGATTCCCAGAAAATGTTTACCTAGCAATACCGGCAATAGGAGCGTGCGCTAGATTCTTGCCAAAGGCAGTATACATTCAAGTATTTCTGTTACTTTCAGTCCTCCCTCATTTACTGCAGCAATGAGTTTATTTGAATCTAATTCTTTAAGTTCCCATTCCCAAGAGTAGCATTAGACAGTATTAATGAGTAGAAAAATAAAATCATATTCTCTCACATACATATTGCTAACTAGTTACAAGCAACTTTTGGAAACAAAGAAGGGAGTTTTTGCTTGGCTAATGTTATGGGCTAAGATACATGTGAGTCAGTTTTATCCTCCAGCAATATACTAAATTAGGGAGTTTTCCACTGTTACCACCTACCTGTCCCTCCTCTCCTTCCCCCACGCCTATCAAAGCTCTTCTACAACATGTGCTGGACCAGCTTTTATAAATATACTAATTTCAGTGGCCAATCTTTCAGAAAGTCCATGGACCATATTGCCATCTATGAGAACTGCTGTTTTCCCATTGGTTACATGCACCTGGGACCGGTAAAAGCCAACATATTGTTGCAAAAAGTGTTCTTCTTTGCATGTGCGCTTAATTAAGTAACTGAAGTCTGTGCTGTCTGTGATCAGTATTGTGCAAAGAATTGCAGAGAAGGGTTAAGAACAGTTTCTAAAGGCTTGTTAGCCAGCTGCTTATGTCTGTGGCTCCTTGGAAACCTTTTCTTTTCTTAATAAAGATTAAGATTGTCCATGTGAAGTCTCTGTTAGGCAAGTCCAGAGGGGTATTTTGTGTAATAGTCCCTTACCAGGAGGAGAAAGGAAAAGCACCTGATAAGCAGTAAACCTCACAAGCCCTCTTACCCCTACTACCAACCCCAAGTGTTAGGTTGGTGTAATCAGTATAATCCTCTCCTGGATCTATTAAAGATGACACAGGTTGGTGATGGAATTATAGATTCAAAACACCTGGATGGTGACCACAGCAGAAGGGGCTGCGGTGTAGCATCTCAGAGTGAGGTAGACAGTGATGAACTTAGCCAGAGAACTCGGAACAGGCTTAGAGTTAGGCTGGGTTTACAGCCTGGATCTAAGGCCAACTGAGGGAGAGATTTCAGGGTCTGATTTAAATGGTGACAAAATCTCATGTGCTAGCCTTTCTACATCCTCTCTAAACTAAATCCAATCTCCTGTTCAGTTGCAACAAGCCATTTAGGGATGAGAGGCTGTGCTGTGAGTCTGGAGGAGGAACTGGGATTTGTACTAGTCAAGTAGCATTCAATTTCCCAAATTAAACTATTCAAAGAAATGTGCTGGTGCTGAAGTAAGCATTTTTCCACTTGCATATTAAGATGCTGCAGAAAAAGACAATTTTTTTTTCTTTTTCTGTGATCTCTCTCTCGTTCTTCCTCTCTCTCACACACACACACACACACACACACACACACACACACACTTGCAGTCTAGTTGAACTCCTCATCTTCCCAGGAAGCTTGTAATGAGCTATCTACATGGATGCCCACAAGATGCTCCAGGGGCAGACATGCTTTGAGGAGGTAAATTTCCCTGCTATTAGGGGAATTTTTAAGGTTTGTCCAAACAAGTATCCTTCAACAGTAAATAAGAAATGATGAAACCAATGACATAGGAAAAGCAAGGAGCTATACATCCTTGTCATATTTAGTGCCTGAACAGAACTGTTCTCTCAGGAAATGAAAGAAGAAAGATCTACAACTCATTATCAGCTTGCTCTGGGGTTTTTTTTAATATCAAAGTGGGGCAGGAGGAAATACTGCTGAAGACAGCACTCCTTTCCTTAAAGAAGGGAGAAGGAAAAAAGCCAAAGAGAAGAAAACGTGTAAACATCTGGCATTAGAAACCTGGCCTTCCTCTTGCCAAATTAAGGTACTTTAACCAATATGTATGCATTCACACTACCCTCTACTGGATAAAACCAAAACTGCTCCACCAATTGTCATAGGCCTTCTACTTTTAACAGATAATGACATTCAGAATTGTCAAAACCAACAGCAAGTGTTCAAAAACCGGGAGTCAGGTGCCCAACATCAAGAGTTTGTCTTAACAACATGACATTTAAGAATAATAAATGTGGGCTGCTTCATATTTGCCTGGTGACATATACTGAGGTTAAGTTTTCAATTTTTTCTTTGCATTTTAATTCCTTTCCACAAGGGCTGGAAACTTTTTTTTTTTTCTTGGAAGTTTCAGATGCTAATCTAATGCCTACAGCTGGGATTTAAAAAAAAACCCAGCAATTATTATGAGACTCAGAGTTGGTGACATTGGAGATAGTTTAATTTCAGGTGATAGGGACCTACAGTCTGGAAGCCAGAGGATATACTGTAGATCTGTCTTGCTACTGCTGTGAAAATCCAGCCATCGTGAAATACAGCACTGTGGCAAATCTAAAGCAATAGGTTGCTATCAGCCAGAGATTTGTTGCAGTACATACATTTTGCCTTAAACATCCAGAGAGAAAAGAAAATCAGGATCATTTCTGCTCATCTTGGCTGTACAATATCCTCTTTTTCTTCCACTTTAACAAGCCAACAAAGAGAATATTATTCACATTTCATTTGAAAATATTGCACTCCCTTCTGGGCAGACACCAGTCCGTCTCAGTTATATTCTGAAGTGACCTCCATACAATTTACATTTTCAAATATCCACTGAAGACAGATTAAAAAGATAATTATGTGAGGAATACAATTAAGATTATTAAAGTTTACCGAGGTTCAGCAACTCTCTCATATGTGCACATTTCTTATACAGTTGCTGCTAAGCCTCTGTATTTGTTTTCAGGAATCTGTCATAAATGCCTAAAGGTACTACAGCTGTCTTTATTGAAACGAAAGGGAGTATATAGATAAACCTAAGATAAATGTATGCATCACCCTCAATTCCTCAAATTAAAGATAACAGCCAGGTATTAATTCCACTAAGTATGGTTTGCTTTAAAGTCACCAATAACAAGAAGGAAGTTAGGAGTGCTTAGCAACCCCCGCACCCTTACAACTATGGTATGGAGTCAAAATTGGACATTGCAAATTGGAAATCATTCTGTACCTTCTATCCCTTGTGTTTAACAGAATGACATATAATGGTAAGGGAAAATCCGCATTATGCAGAATCTATAAAATCGCAGGCCCCTCTTAAATTCAGTAGAACTACTCATGTGAATAAAATTATGCATGTGCTTAAGTGCTTTGCAGGATTAGGGGCTCAATTAATTTAATCAGTGGCTAATGTCAGTTACAGAAACAAAACTGGCTTCCTTTGACCATTCAAAGGAACAGAACATCAGTAGCAGGAAGGTTCACAAAAAATGCAAAGAGAGTTTGTGAAAAGATTTTCCTTCTGCCAAATTTTGTCACATACAACAATTATAATCTGCCTGGCAACTGACTCCCCAGCCCAGCCCCTGGCTTCTTTATTTTTCATTCCATCCAGGAAGAGCACACACCCACTGCTGAAACTTCCTTAGCCTGACGAAGGGTTTTTTAACTCAAAAGCTTGCTTAATGACTATTCTCCAACTATTTGGGTTGGTCTAATAAAAGATATCAAATTCACCCAAGGAACCTTGTCACATACAACATGCACTTTTCCCCCAAAAACAGCTGCTGGAAATTGTAGTGCACAGCACATGCAAGAAATATGATAAAATCAGTTTCTGCTGGTTATGGTCAAAAGAGAAAGCAAAAATTGCATGCAATTCACAACGCGCAGGAGCATAACAATGCGCAGGCGTGACTGCTTAACTGCTGCTACTCAGTTACCTACCACAAGATCTTTTCCTTCATTCCACCTTTCAAAAAACACAGTGTATATATTCTGGGGTGTGTTGCATGCATTAAAATATTATATTTACCCAGCTCCTCTCTCTTTGGACTGAAGCTATCAAAATCAAATTGACAGATTTTCAGATGGGCAGAGAGAATTTCAGGGGTGGCACTAGCCTCTTCCTGCTGGGGCAGGGGGGAGGCTGAGATGGGCTAGACTGAAAATTAGGAGGGCTGTGCTGTAGAACAGCGGGACACAGGCCCCACGGGCTGGGCCAGGCCAG